ACTGGCCTGCATTCCAACTCTATTACACTGTAGCTTTGTAAAGATCATGATAAAACACTTGCTTCCTGCAATTCTGATTACAGGCTTTACCCTCCTTTTATTTGATCTCTTATCAAGTTGGAGCTTTTGTTTTCAAGGCCTGAGTGACTTGTTGCTCAGGTCATCAAATGAACGTATGGCAGATACGCACTCATTCCGCCGCTGAAAAGGGCCTCTACCGGGATTTTTTGAACTCGTGCCACAAAAAACACCAGTGTTACTTTATCGATCGAGTGTGTCTGAATTTGGCACGTGATGCGTGTGGTTATTTTGCATGGCGGTGAAACAGTCGGACTGGGCTAATGAGCTGAGCTCTCAAACTATTTGCGTTTTAGTGCGGAGTGTGCGGCTCTGCGTTTCAGGGCACTGCAGTGTTATTTTAGAGTCGGGGGCATCTGAGTGTGCGTGAGAGAAGCACATTTGATCTTGTGGAGGTTCTACAGAGAAATCCAACTCTCTCTGCTTTATGACAATAGCTTCCTTTCGACTTCAAATGATTCCCAATTTCCTTTGATTACTTCATCTCTGTCTCTCTCGCTCTCCGTTACTGACCCCGTCTGCATGAAGTGTGAGCCTAACAGCTTTCATATGTGCCGCAGGGACTCTGTTCTACTGAAGAGAGAGAGAGAGAGAGAGAGAGAGAGAGAGAGAAAGAGAGAGAAAGAGAGAGAGACGGCTCTACTTAATAGTACACTGAACACACACCCCCCAGCTGAGTGGGTCTCTGTAGGCGTCTGAAACAGATCCATACAGCAGCGCCAATGCACATTTGGAGGTCAGTGGCAGCTCTCCTCTTTACAAAACACTCCTACTCCTCTCCTCTCCTCCTCCCTCATCACCTCCTCACCTCATGCTCTCTATGTGCTACGATACCAGACTGTTCAGTTGAGTTAAACCTGAAAACTCTAGGTTTATTCTAACAAAAGTTTTTTTTTATTTGGTTTGTCACAAACTACCATTTTGAACAAGAAAACAAACAGCTAAACACAGTCATATACAAAAGTTTGAACACCGCTTGTCAAATGACATGCTTTGTTGATTTTCTAAGTGAAAACACTCTACAGTGTTAGAAAGAGCACACTTAAACATGGCATTTTAATGCAAATTTTACAGCATGATTTCTATTTATTTACTGAGTTTAACTTTTTGGAAAACAAACAAAAAAAAATCAAATGTGCCTTAACTTTTGAACAGGCCACATTATGTTTTCCAATATATTAAATTCAGCAAATAAACAGTATTTGTGCATCAAAATGTGCAGAAGTGTGTCCTCTGTAGATGTTGCGTTAACTTCAGCTTTAAAAAATCAATAAAACGTCATTTCACCAGGGGCGCTCAAACTTTTGCCTACGACTGAAGTTACACATCAGTCAGGTAACTCTGATTAAATAAATCAATAATAGGCACTACCCAATCTGACTTCTGTTCTGAATGTGTTCAGGTGCTTACTTAGCAAACAAGAAAAGAAGCCATGTGCAGATCTGGGTCAACCTGCTGAAATTAATAAGATGATTTTACTGTTGCCAAAGAGCACATGCATGTGAAGTAGACCCCCTGGTTGCAGATTTAAATGAGCTGCTTTCTTGTTTTTTGGTTTCATGCAGTTAAAGGGGACCTATTATGCTTTTCCAGTTTTTCCCTTTTCTTTAGTGTGTTGTTTAGCTTTTTGTGCATGTAAACGGTCTGCAAGGTTACAAAGCTCAAGGTACACGTCAGAGGGAGTAACTCTCTCCCACAAAACCACTTTTCTCAGCTGCCTGGAAGGCCTCGTCAGAATTTCAGCCTTTTTCCTTTGTTACAATATGATGCAATCTCATAACACAATCCTTATTGGCTGCCTGTAGGGGCAGAACATGTATCAGGATGCTGCCTTTAACCGCTCTGGCAGGTGACCATTCAGAACAGAGTGGGCGAGCTGACCAATCAGAGCACACTGGGCTCATTGGGAGGGTGAGAAAAATATGAGGGTGAGAACAGTACGAGAAAAATGTGTTTTTGGAACACTGAGGAATGTAAATCTATTGTAGTAGACTCCAAACATAAAACTATGAACACTGAAAATGAGCATAATAGGTCCCCTTTAAGAATTACACTCACTGGCCACTTTATTAGAAAAGTCAACCTTGCAGGTCCACCTTGCTTGTGTACAGTTAGACTGTAGCACATCTGTTAATGCACAGTTTGTGTTAGCTAAATTCTAACCCTTCATCAGTGGTCAGTGTTTGACCACAAAGCTGCTCTTGGCTGGACATTTTTGGGTGGCAGACTACTCTGGACCTAGCATGTGTAAAAACCTAAGCAACACTGCTTTGCCTACTATTAGCAGTATCACTACTGTGCTGAGAATGCACCACCGTCCAAATAATATCTCATTAACAGTGGTAATGTGGACACTGACCAATGATGAATGGGTGACAAATTGTTCATGACAACAGAAGGGTCAATGCGTAACTGTACACTGTGATCTCAAAATAGCCAGTACAAGGTATGTGTTTCCACTCAGGTGAATTGTGAGTATGTTATTCTGTAATTACTATAAAAAAAAAAGGTGGTAAAAAAGTGAAGGTCCCTTAAAATTTAAGGGGTTAACAGAAAATGGCAGAGACGGGCAGAGATGCCATGGCCGAGGATGCGACCCCTGAGTCAAGCTCCACGCCTGCCGCAGGTAAACTGATTAAGGTTATTGCATTAAGGCTGGCGGTTTGTGTAGCTCCCCTCTAAAGCAAACGTTGTTCCAGTTCAGAGCTGTTAAGATCTATTTTCCCTGACAGGTTGGAAGCGGTGGCTTTTTTCTTCCTCACCGGAGGCATGGGGGCCCCAGGCTGGAGGCCCAACAGCATGACCACCCTCCAGTCACCCTGCTGCGCTCACACAGGGCAGCTTCTTTACGAGCTCCAGCGGCCAGTCTTATTGTCCTGTTTATTTTTTTTTTTTCTCATCCACTGGAGTGGAACTGGCTCACTTTTTTATGGCTCCAGGACCATATTTACAGCCTTGTCTCGAGAGCTAGGCTAAAACACCAGGAACAAGGGCTGTCTTCTTATTCAGCTGAGGAAAGTGGCGCTCTGATCCCCGCGGCCAGCTAAACCGGCCTCTGGGAGCCTATATAACGATAGCGTGAGTGTCAGAGTTGGGCTTGATTCGTGCAGCTCCGCTTTGGGGACAGGATGCTATTAGCTGTGCTTTAAGGCCTCTCAGGGCCTGTGTAGATGGCTTCAGCAGGTTTTCTCTTCAGCCAATTAAAGTAAACACCAAGAGGGTGTGCGCCTGTGGGTCAATTCATGTCCCTCTCTGAAAATACACAGCGCCTGCGATTTCACTTCGCTTAGCGCTCACCTCTGTCAAGCACACCATCTGACGTAGCATGAGTGACTATTGCAGTATTTTTAGAAAGCCTGTTAATGATATGCTATGTGAGAGCAATCTGAATTTCTTTCAACAGGAGGGGAAACTTACACAGGCTTCATTGCATGTAAAACTTAGATATGCACAATAAAATCCCAAGAATATACTTGGTATTGCAACAGTGCTTTCCTTTCTAACCACAGACCACCGCCGATCCTGAACAATGATGGCATAGAGACACAAATGCCCAGGGCAAAAGTCATCTCCACCGCAGCCAAACACATACTCGATTCGAGCCATTAGCTTCAGAGGAAAGAAGGGTCTGCGTTTTTGTTTTATGTAATCTACTGTGTGCCATGAATTACACAGAATAGTTTGTTCAGTTCAGGCTATGGAGAACAAACTCCCACAATTAACCTCTGATTTTTCAACTTGACTATTGTTACTTCCTCTCTCTCCCCCTCTCTGCACTTGGTGCAAGCTGCCTCCCACACCCGGTGGCCTAGAGAAGCAGGGAGGGGGGGATGAAGAATGAAGAGAGGAAAAATATGATTGAGAGAAAAAGAGCATAAATGGAAAACTGCAGCAGGACAGATGAGGGAGAAAGAAAAAGAGAAGGTTGATTGCTATACCAAAATGACTGGTGACAAAATCAGAGGGCTAAAAAGAAAATAAAAGGAAAAAAGAAACCAAGAGTAAACCATGAGACAAACAGATGGATTTTTGAAGGCATCTTTTACTGGAACGTGGGTGGAGGCGGTTGAATTATAGCTTTAAATATTTCTGATTTCTACTGTTTTAAAAAAGTTGCTGTGTATAAAAAGGTGAAACAGGCAGACGCCAATTAGTATGACATGATTAATTTGGGGTTAACAATTTCTTAGCTATACTGACCAAATCATTAATTTAAATCTATATTTTCCATAACTCCTTGAAGACAATCCTTTTTGGTTACCTTTGAGGCACATTTTCTTTGTTTTAGGTTATTTAAAGCAGTTATGTCAGTGAATTTGAGGGGAATAACATGTCTCCAAATATTTCATTCAGCATCTGTGGAAGTGACACTTTATTGCAGCTGTTTCGATAAAGTGTAATCTTTGGCAGGGAAAGGCGAGAGCAATGAACACAGGAGTGCAGCAAGCAGTAAGGAGTGGGAGTGAAAATTAGGAGCTTCTCTGACACTGTATGACATACTGATGCGTATACAATAGTCAAGGTAATGTTGCATAGCTAAAAATAGTAGTAGTGAATGTGTTAAATCATGATTTCTGTCCATACATTGTTTTTAGACATGCAGAATTTGTACTATGCCAGCTGGTGGGTTATAATCTTCTATTACTTGTTAGTTATATAAGCCTTGTAGCTTCAGTACAAAACTAATCAAATCAAAGCTGTCTTGGCAGAATACATTTGGGACAAGGGTAAAATATGTAAATTATTATTTTTTTTGCTAAACTACTCCTTTAAATTATTGCTTTTCCTTTGATGTGGTTTCTCTGATAAACTTGTATACGAGGGGTTAAAGAACGTTGCCATTCAGAGGGTCCATTCACACCTCTGTAAATCCCTTCCACCCCTCTACCGCCACTCTGTCTTACTCCCCAGTCCTTTCTTACCTCGTTTCCTAGCAAAGCAGAAACACATGCTTCAGACGCATCGCAAATGGCAGTGAGGTCGTGACCCCCCTCCAGGGCGAGCACCAGGCGGCCGCCGGCCAGACCCATCAGCTGCTTGGTCAGGTAGCCAAAACCTGCCGGGGGGGAGAGAGAAAGCAAATGTGGGTAGGGGTTAGAGCTGGCCCCAGAGGCTTCGCTGCCTGGCCTTCGATCAAAGAAGCCGGAGTCAGAGCGAAGCAGGGAAAGAGGGAGGAAGGAAAGAAAGAAAGGGGTATTACATCATATTTTCTCTTTCACAAGGAAGGCACCTAGGATTTAGTGGGCCTAAACGCATAATACAAGGCAGGTTTAATTTTAATAAATGTGGCTCAGGATTTCGGCTCCAGGCTGCTTTTGATCTTTGTTTGAATATATGCATCCTGCTATACCCCTTTCAGGCCAGTCTCAGGGTCTGAATGCTCTGATATATTCCTCTAAATCTCTTGGGGCCCTTCAGATCTTGGCAAGTGATTGGTCAGGACAGCACAGCTCAGTGCATTCTGACCAGTACACTCACACACTGACCAAAAGGTTCACAAAGAGAACACTGAACATGAGTCTCAGTGGATTTATATTTGAGGTCAATGATTGTATTTGAGGTCAATGATTGTACAAAAACTTCAGTATTGTTCAGTACAGTTTGTTTGTGTAGTGTGATAAGTGTGATTGTATGCATCTACTGTTGCATTCCAGTGTTAAGATCCAGATAAGAGCACAGTGTAGTGCACAAGTATGTTTACATGTTCACCACTGTAAATGCTCCATAAAGGTCTAGATAAGTTTTTGTGTCTGGAGGGAAGTGGGTCCTGTCACAGGTCATCAGGCAGCTACAAGACTGCAAATACAGCCAAATACTTTTAATTTCTTTCACCTTCAGCTTGAATGGTTGCACTAACATTAAACCGGTCTGAACTGTCTTATGTTATACACACAGTATATATTAGTTATTATACACAATATAAACCAGTCTGCATGTTCTCAGCGATACTGAACCATCCTGAATAGTCTCACTGATATTAAGCCAGTCTTAATGATCGCACTACCATTAAACTTGTCTGAATGATCTCACTAACATTAAACCAAGCTGAATGGTCTCACTGACATTAAGCTGGTCTTAATGATCTCAATAAAATTATACCTGCCTGAATGATCTCGACAACAATAAACCAGTTTTCATTTTCAAACTCCAGGACCTTTAATGACTTATCCAGTATCAAAAAACTACAAAAAACTAACAAAATGATACAAACTTAAAAAAACTGCAATACATCAATGGTTTTAATTAATAACACCTAGAAAAGACCAACTGAGAAAGTGGCATCACTATAAAGCTATTAGGGCTGCTAGAAGATCATGTACTAACGTGCATTAACGTCACTGATAGTAATGCTGAAACCCTAGCAGTACCCAAGAGAAATTATAAGCTCTTGACTCCCATAGCACTACTGCTGAACAGTAGTAAAGCTGAACAGCTCGCTGGTGTGGTTAAGAGCTGCAATGTTCACGCAAATGGCTAGAAAAAAACTCTTAAATGACCTGAGTTCTACTCTTTTCTTCAGTTTACACTGTTTCGTATCGTAATGTGACTGTGACCGATACTGAATTTAAGCAACAAACTAAAGACCATCCAGGCTAAAGCTAATGACATGACGTACATGCTACCTGATCTCACAAACAGAAAAACGCAAGGTTACATGAAATACAAGGGTGATGTTATAGCCACTACAAAAATTTGTATATTTACACAATGAAATTAATAATTACAGAATATATATATATATATATATATATATATATATATATATATATATATATATATATTTTGTGGGGGGGGGCATTAAACCTGTCTGAATGGTCTCACTGACATTAAGCTGGTCTGAATATTCTCACTCACTTTATCTCAGTCTGGATAGTCTTGCTAACTTTGAAGTCAAACTCTTCACATGTGCCTGGGCATCCCCCTCCCCTAAATACTACAACGTTTCTACTTTACACTGCATGCATTCAATACACACAAGTATGGTTTTGCTGTTAGATGTAATCTATAAAGGGGCCTTTAAGATACGAGAATACCTTTCTAATAGTATAAAAGTAACCTCTTGGTCCCCTACATGTTTTCTAATCTCTTAAACTTAGATTAGGAATGAGATTGGAATGCCTTATGGGATGAAAACACTTGGTAAAAAGTATGAAAAAGAGAGAGAGTGCCTCTCTGCTGGGTTGAGCCATGCTGAACACCCAGGGGAATAAGGACTCTTTGTTTTTGTGGCATTGGGACGTTACAAATTCAACTAGAATAACAGCTTTTAGACAGGAAAAATAAACCTCTGCCTTCTGTCGAGCCGAGCAGAGGAGCAGTGTGTGGTGTGTGTGTGTGATTTTCCTCTTTTCTCTCTGGCCACACAGACAGGCCACAAAAAAGTGATAGAGAGAGGTATGGAGAGAGTGAGAGAGAAGGAGGGAGAAACAGAAAGAGAAAAAAAAGACAAGAGTGAGAGATCTATGTTTATGTATTATTTTTATATAAATGTTCATCTGGACATTTACAGTCATATTAATACTCCATGTGCAATGTGTGTAAAATATTGCCATAGTGTAAATACTTTTTGCTTTTTTAATTTATAATTGTTTATATTGTTAATTTTTGTGAATAGAGTTTAAGTGAAGGATAGAGTTTATATTTTTTAGCTTATATTTTTATCTTTGGTATTATATATATTGTCTATAAAGAAACAAGTAACAAACTGTAACCCTGTTAAGTAATTAACAAGGTTAATAACTTTGTTTATTCTCTTCTTGTTACTTATTTTCTTGAGTGCCTTGCTATTCCTTTGCTGCTGTAGCACTGTAAATTTCCTCGTTGTGGGGCTAATAAAGGACTAATATAAAATCTTATATAGACACACACACACACACGCATACACACACACACACACATATATATATATATACACATATATATATATACGTGTGTGTATATATATATATATATATATATATATATATAAAAGAGCATGTAATCCTAATCCACAGGGATTCAAAAAGATTTTCAGAGAGAGAGAGAGAGACTAAGAAAGCCTTCCAGAATAATGACTAATAGTTTTGTCATGTTGTACTGAAGGCTCAAGCGTAGGAGGAGGAAAGGGAAGGCGGTGTATTGTGGGGAAAATGTGTCTGAGTGAAAAGATCACCACTCCTTGAACACTCACACTTGGCCGTGAGTTTGTATCCCCCCAGTGGCGACGGATGGCCCTCCACAGCGTCAAATCCCGACGAAACCAACACTACGTCTGGAGCAAACTCATTAGCGATGGGCATCACCACTGTCCTGCAGAAAAGACAAAGGCAAACACAGAATCCATGAGCTGTCCGTTAGAGTGCTTTCTAAAATATTCATGACAAACCCAGAGGAACAATCTAGAGACAGTGACTCTGGCTCAATTGCACAGTCCATGAGACCTAAGCATTTAACAGCCTGTACTACACAAACTCACAGTACATTTTTTTTTGGCTAACAACAGATGCAGTAAGAGACGGACATAGTGAATGTGCACAGCGCCCTCTGTCCAGTCACGTTATCCGATTATAAAGGGTCAAAGGAGATGCCTCCGAGGCTCATTGAAATGACAGGCGTAAACGGCTATACGTTTCACTGTCCACTAGTGATCGGATCACTCAAAATACCAGGTATGAACAGGACCTGTGAGAGTCGTGTATTTTTACACCTCAGGTTGAGTTCTTTCTTACTAAGATCACTTGGGTGAATAGACACCAGTATACTGTTACATACAGGGAAGCTTACACACAGTCATGTTCGGAAGAAGGGGAAAAAAAAAATGAGTGTAAGCAACATGCCCAGATTGAATGTGTGATTCATAGAAGGACTGTGGGTTTAACGGCCCATTTTGTGGTGAGGCTATGATTCTCAGCCCAGAGCCGCTGTAGAGCACACAGCTCCACAACTCTTCCAGACTGACGTGCAGTACTGACCCAATGACAGTGCGAGTGGTATGAGGGTATGGTGTTAAAACAGACTCCAATCTGCCCTCTCTCGCCCCACCACTTCAACAACAAGCAATAAAACGTATACTCCTCACACAACAGAAGACATGCAGACAAAAACAAACACACACCCAAATGCAGGGTCAGAAGCGCGGTCAGCCTCATCAAGCTGTGTAAGGGTTATCAGAGCACATGTCAGCATGAGACATGCACATCGCTCGGGTGGGAGGATACTATGGCTGAGCTTATGGCTGTAAACTCTGGCTGGCCAATTCCAGCGTCACTGAAGCACACCCAGCTGGGAGGCTATATTAAGCTCCATTAAGGCGCTGAGTTGGAGTCGGAGCTGCAGCTGGGGAGGAACTGGATCTGGCTGGGCTTGGTGGGACTGCTGGGGCTGAAGTTGGAGTTTCTCTCTGAGGATCTGGCTGGAGGACAGCAGCTCCCCACTGCACTGTAGGTGTAGGCAGATTATAGGCTGGCTTTGTGTTGCTTTCCTTAAGATGTGGGCAGGTCCTCCACAGCTGAGGCCTGTCCGCACACCACAGCTGAGGTCAGGCTGCAAATATCCGCCACAGCCTCAGCATATTCTTGAATCATGACGTATCCCACACCTACAACATCGCCTCATCCCAATAGTGCTTAATAACGACTTCAGATGCATCAAATCTTTTTCCATGCATCAGCACAGACTGCAAACAAGTTTCACAACAGTCAGAGCTGACTGATTAAAAACTGCAACTACACTTCAATTCCACACTCTCATAACTTACACATTAGCTTCAGAGTAGTTATAGAATAATTTACAGCAGCTGCGGAATGAAAAGGTTAATTGTTTCTTGCAGCTCACTGAAACAGAGAAATTCTACTGGGAATGTGGGTTATAAACTTTTAATCAATATCACATTTGTGTACGCAAGTAGAAGAGGAGATATTGTACTATGATTTGAATTTGATAAAACGTTATGCTTGTGCGTACAGTCTTGTTAATGTAAATGAAACATTTATGTTGGATTTTTGTAATCTCTTGGCATCAAAATAAAAAGAAAAAAAGCCAAAGTTCAGACTCATACTCATAAAGCTCATAACTTACTATATAAATAAATAAGAAATTGGAAAAGTAGAGCAAAACTAGAGTGATTACCCTGAACCTCTAAGGGTCAAGACTTCTCCTTAAGAAATTTTTAACTTTGTGCAGCTTAACGGGTACATACTATCAATGTCAAGATCATGGGTCTAGGTCCCAGGGAGCGCACATGACGATTTAAATAAATACTACCAAAAGACACAAATTTTTTTTTCCCAGGACTCAAAAATGTAACAGTAATAAATGTAAAATTAATATCAATGCTGTCTGGTGTCCAATCAGTACCTCTTCAGTTTATTTGCTTTGGTTCAGTAATTCAGCTGTCTGGCTGTGGTGTTCTAGTGTGGGTATGTATATGCCTTTCTCTCAGGCATAGCTGTCGGTGTAGTGTGTTAGTGGCGGTGGCCAACGCTCCACGTTCTTCGGCAGCTGTTGGGAGGTGTACTTTGCTGACCTCAGGAACATGGCACTGTACTGTGGGTGGGCTGGGGGCCCGGGCCCGGGCCCGGGGCCTGAGATGGCAGCGGCTCAAGCCAGCCTCATTCTTTCCGTCCTGTCCTCCACCACTCCACCACAATTACAGGCTTTCTAGGTGCCCACACATCCCAGTAATCACCCAACACCTGCACTGCCATACCCAGATTCAGCACCCCAGGCTCAACTTCGTAATCAACATATGATCAGCGCAATATAAAACGCTGTTTGGCTCTGTATGCTGTATGGATGCCTTACTTGGTTCAAATAATGACTTATTTTCTTGAGATGTTGACTTTGCTGAAAAAGTGATCTGAGAAATCGTGATTATTTCGATATAAAGGATTATTTTGAGAAAATAAGATCTCATTTCGGCATCAGCAACTTAAGAATAATTACTTATTCTGACTGTTTCCAAACTCGTTCTTTTTCAGATGAAGGATGAGCTGAACTTGAGTTCTGTACTTGTGTGCATTTGAACAGGGCAATAGTGTAAAGTCCCTATTAATCCCTGTTAAAATCCCAACTGCAGACATTCTGGTTGTTTCAGAGCTGCATGATAGATGAGTGTAGCCTCTTAGCTATGTGTAGTGCATCAAAAGGCTGTGACATTTCTGCAACAGAAGTCACAGCATGCACACAAAGTAATAAAGTAACATACAGCTTTAGCAATGCAAGGAATGCACAGCCAAAAGAGTTGTGCTTTTAACAACTAACTGGAAAAGAAAGAACTAAAAATATTATTTAGGCAAAACTGTAAGCCTTTAGATTAACACCATTTTTAAGAAATAATAAAATATAGATTCAATTAGGTCTGTCAAAAATGTGACTTGTACATTAGGTAAAGATGGGCAGAGGGTGAAAGAGTGAGAGAACAAGCGTCACTCTTACCAGCAGTTATGCCTCTGTGACATCGCCGAGTGCAGTGGTGAGCAGGGAGTAGTTGTTTTCAGAAGTGTGGGACAGAGCACCACAGTCATTTATGTTGGAAGCATCCAAAACAAGCTAAAAATGCTCAATAATATTTTGACAATCAACACTGACTCTTGTTATTACATGTTGTGGTCTGCTGAAATGTGGCTAAACATAAGAGAGAACAGGATGAAGGAAAGTCCCTCAGCTGCTGCTCAGAGGAAAAAAGCGATGACTGCTCTCACTTTGAGTGAGGTTTAAGGTCAAGATTTTAGATCGAGGGTTTAAATAATGAGGAATGCTTATTCATTAGCACGGAGAGAAAGGCTGAGTCCTGCTCTCCCTCAGAGTCAGACTTTCCGCTGCAGGTGACGCCTCCCGACCTGCCAGCAACAGCGGTGGCCCGACCACAGCAAAGTCCGCCCGCGTCTCTCCTGCGTCTGATCCGGGACACATGAAAGCTCCGGCGCTTCACACGCAGCCCACAGGCACGCCGACGGCTGCCGCACACTCGGAGCTGAGGACTGGTGTGCGGCAACAGCGGGATGGGCACTAGGCCAGAACCGCCCCCCGCATACCCTGCAATACCCCTCCATGCCCCCCCCGCCTAGCTTTGATGTTCTTAGTGAGACACGCCATCGCCACGCGCGTCAAAACTGCTCACATCATCACATTCCTCGGTGGGGACCCCCCACCGAACCACCAAAGCATTCGGTTATCGGTGCTGCATGCAGAAAAACTGCATTAAAGGGCCCATATTCTACTTTCTTCCCCCCACCCCCACGAAGTCCACATGGATAAAATTTGCATGAATTTATGCACCTAAACCAGTTACAGGCTGATACTGTTACAATTTATTCTTACATTACTGTTGCTCAATCTCTGTTCTGTTGTTTTTGTAACTGTGCCTTTAAAGTTAATATATGTAAATAACCTTTGTTCTAACTGGCTGCCATGTATTGTGCCTCATTCAAGAAGCAGTCCGGGATGAAATATACAGAACTAACTGTTCAGTTTGGACTGAAACCCTTGGGGACGTCAGAAAAATAAACTTTCTGGAAGGCTGCAACGATACATTTGCCAAAAACAGCACACAATTTTTCCCCCACATCTTCCGCTACAAATTACTTTTAAGAATGCCTGCAGTAACAACACTCCCTGTCTTCGCAACATGGGCAGTCTAAAGTGTACGTCAGCCACTGGTTGTGACATCACAACAACAATGATGCTCAAAACAGTTGCAATTTAGTTTACACATAAGGACTGGATGGATTGTGGACCAAATGCTATGTCTTGAAACTTTCTCAGTGTTCACATAGTACATCAAAATCTTACTTCACAAGAGCAAGAAATTGGTTTTCCATGATATGTCTCCTTTCAAGCGCATGAATCAAGCTACGTCTAGGTTGGGACCAAGAAAAAAAGCTTTGCTAATTAGGTTACGGATGCCGAAATTTACGACCCACCGAGTGGAAGCCATCCAAACTCACGTCTCCACAGACTGTTGGCTTACGTTTGCTGTTTTACTGCCTCCTGCCTGTTGATGTTCGCCATCATTCCTGATTTCTAAGCAAATCTGAGCAGAGAAGGGATGATTCAGTGTCTGGACCACACAGATATGCAATGAATACAAATAAAAGCAGACTGTGACCCCTCTGGAGCCTCACGTGCTCCTCACACCTCACAGACTCAAAGCACCAATGGCCCTCTCATAACCCCTCTTCTCCACGCTCATCTCTGCAGGTCTTAACCTGGGCTGAGGCCTGTGTGTGATCTTTTCCATGGGAGCGAAGAAACAGACTCCAGCGAGATCCTTGGAGAGGAGGCCTGCCAGGACGTTGGTGGAATAAGGA